TTTTAAAAAGAAAAGTATATTTTTTATTTAATTTAATTTTTAGAAAACTTATTGCTCAACTACGACCAGAATAACGCCAAGACTTTCTCGTTAGCAGGTCTTTCAATTAGCCATTCGAAAAGAGCTTTCAACATACTAGTTTTCAGAATTGGCAGTTGCCTTAGGAATGTCTTTCGAAAGACTATGGTGAGTTGAAAGACGGTTGCCAGAATTTCCCTGTTAGTCAACTTTCCTTCAAACAGTCTCTAATTTGTATAAGTTTGCTTAAATACTTTATTTGCTTAAATACGTTCCTTTGCCCCTTTCCAGTTGTAATCTCATTTTTCCAGCAAGCATAAACTGCAGTTTAAGGCTTGGTGGAAATGAACTATTAGGTACGGTACCACAAGTTGACGGCAAAACGCTATAGCTGCATCTGCAACCATTTTTTGCTACCTACTCACCTGCATCTACTTCCTCCTTTTTTATGCAGCAGACACTTAAAAGGTTCTGTAATTAAATGCCGTCGGCAAAAATTTTCTGTTGTCAATGAGAAGTGAAAAAAATAATTTTGAAAAATAATTCAGCATACTCCAGTAAATAACAAATACCACACTATGGTTATAATTTTTTTTTTTTTTGGTATTTCTGTGTAAACATTTTGCAATTTTATTTTTATTATTATCATTTTTTGTGTTTAATAATTTTTATCAAACCGTTTATTTGTAGCGGTTTTATGTCTTTTGCCACTTTAATAATTTTAGAGGGTTTTCATTATAATAATAATAATATCATTACTTTACTAAATTATCATTTCTAACGATTTGTTGCATAGTTTTTTTTTTAATATATGTTTTTTAATAATAATTTTATTTATTTAATTACTTTTTTGCATACATTTGGGCGTACGATACGTAAATATGCTTTTTAGCGAATTTTGTACACCCTCGTTATTTTTTTGTTTTTTTTTTTAACTTATATTTATGAAATATACAGACAACCTAAGCATTGATTAAAACTTAATTAAAATTTTACATAAACAAAAAATGTAATTTATAAACAGGCATGCTAAAACAAAATGGAAATATTTACGTGTGCATTTGTTAGTTTGTTTTTAATTTGATTTTTTGTACATTATTTTTTGTATTTTTTTTTTGGTTAAAAGTTTTTTTGTTCAAATAGTATACAAATTTGAGAGGCGTTTTTGTGCTTTTAAAGGTTTCGTTTGACGGAAGTTTTTGTTAAATGAAAAAAGCAAAATGAGGCGTGGCATTTTTTTCTTATTTTGTAGAGCGTAAAATTTTCTGTTGTACATAAATATGATATTTACATATGCGGCCCATAAACCCCTTTTGATGCGATTTATGTGCTGAACTGTTTTTTTTTTATTTTATTATATTTATGTACATATTTTTAGGAATTACATTAGTACCAATTTTTTGATAAAGGTATTAAAAAAAAAATGTAATAAAAGAGTAAGAAAACTAAATGAAAATTTATGAAAGAAAATAGATAAAATTGAAATATAAATTCAAAGAAAACACTGATAGAATCGATTTAACAAATTTAGTTTGTTTTTGAAAAATTTAATTGATTTACTTAATATGAAAAAAGACCTAGCTGTAGTTTTTAAAAGTTTAAAAATGTAACAGTAAAACATTGCCTATAAATAAATTTTTAAAAATTGTATAAAAAGTTTTAAGTGAATAAAGTTTAAAAAAGTTTAATAAGATTTTTTTACATTGATTTTGGTAGGCAAAAAATGTTTTAAATTTTTAATAGAAGTTGTTTAAAAAAAGATCCTGCAATGTGTTAAGTCAAAGGAAAAAATTAAATATTTGTTATTTTTTTTTAGTAATTTTCGATTGGAATAAATATTAAAAAGTTGGTAATCAACATTGAGTCAATCTTTCGTGTACAGGACAAAAACTAAATTCAGGCAAGAAAACGTTTTAAAGGTTTTAAAAATGACACTGAAGATGGCACAACGCAGAAATCGATTTGTCTGCAAAACCAAACTTGACAAGGGATGACGGAAATTCGTTCCAAAATAAATCGTTTTTAAAATTCTTATTGAAATGTAGCATGCAAACAGATAAAAATCATAGAGTCTACAAAAAAAGTCAAAATAAATAAACATGTTTTTAAAAATTAGTTTTAGACGCAAATTTTTTATTTGCTGAAGCAAATTTAAAATCTTATTAAATTTTTGTTTTTCAAAGTTTCTTGTTAAATTTTGAAAATTTAAAAAAAAAATATTAATTTTAAACCTCATTAATTTTTTTCAAATCTTCTTGATACATTTTGAAAATTTTTAATAATTTAAAAAATTTCATTATATATTCTTTTTCAAAATTTATCTAAATTTTAAAATAACTGCTTTTTTAATGTTTGGAGATTTTTATAAATTTTTTTTATTTTTTTATTTTTTTGAGAGTTTAAGCTTTCCATATTAATTCTAATTTGTACCGAGAATTTTTAAATGCAGAAGAAATTTAAGCCCAAAATTGTGAATTAAATTTTTTAAGGTTTAAAATGTAAGTTGAATCTCGTTCATGGGGAAAATTGCAAACAGCTAATCACAATTTTTCTTTTTAATTTTTGTTTCTTATCTTAGTTATGATTAAGAATTTTTTTTTTAATTAGTATATTTATTAAAACCCATTTTTGATGTTTCAACAGTTTTTTAATATTTTGCATTTGAGATGTAAATTATGTGGCTTTTTACAGTTTTTGGGTTTTAAAAAATAGAAAAAAGCTGATTGTTAGAATCTCATGGGGTTTTCTTTCCTACAAAAAAAAATGTTACTTCTCTTTTCCCTCTTATAGATAAGTATTTGTGCGAAGGGTGCAATGAGAAGGCAACATTTTTCGTGTAGAAAATAAATCACCGTTAGGGTTGACTATATACAGGATCATACCGAAAACTTTATTGAAAAAAAACGAGCTTCAACTAATCTCAAGTTTTTATATTTTGGATTTAAATACAGTTTTCGTTTTGCAACTGTTTGGATGCAAAAAATTTTCTAAAATAAGGAGAATGCTGACTATTTCAACCCTAACGTTGACTGAACTCGCAAATATACCGAACATGCTATTTCAAAATATTTTTAAATTCGATTTGTTTGGGTTTAAATGCATATTTCGTTTTTCTATTGAAAATAAAATATATATTTTTTGTTAAAAATTACCTGAAGTTGC